TTACACATTTGCACTCACAAAATTGGTTGGTAAATTCAACGAGTGGGTGCATCGACCTGGTATATCAAGTTTCTGCAATTTTTTACGGCAAATCAGTAGATTTTCGGGATGTAGATTGCTTACTTTCAATTCATGAATGAATAAAGCAACGACATGGTTGAACTTCTTTGCATGGAAAGACGTTTAAAATAACAAAATCAAGACGTATTTAATGCAATTGCATTTATATCGAGTCAATTTCTTTTCAATAATATAACGGGATTTTTACTACCGGTGATTTGGGTATTTTAGCCCCAAAATACCTTTAAATCGACTTTATCTTCTAGGAGTTCGACAGAATTTTTCCTTTCTTCGCTTAAATTATTCCGTAGCACTTTTCTTCAAGAATCTGATCAGATTTTGCTTGAGGCAGATCAAAAAACTTAAATTCGATCGAATAGCTTTCTACTTTCACAATACACGGTCTCGTCAAGGTGCGTCTTTGACCTCGCAGTGTTGGATCGTGAATTCTCTTTTTATGCTGTTTGCCTATTTTGAAATCTCTGTAAATGAAAACTAAAGGGGTTGATATGTGCGAGTTAATGACGCGCCTTATCAACACATTGTGTTGGAGTTCACTGCTTGTTTTAAGCTTATCTCTAACAGTAAAGACAATTTTGGTGGTTTTTTTCACGGAATATTTAGTAGCACGTCCTAAGGGATCGGAATAAGAGAAAATTTCCCCTAACGCACACTTCGAAAGTATTTTACGAGCTGATATTAGTGTGTGTGTGTATGCTTGACGCCCTGTTAGTTATCGTGTATAGCATTCTGTTTGGCATCATTAATGGCGTTAATCTTGCACAAAAATTTGCGAATTTCAGAATTTTTGCCATCTACGACGTGTGAACTATTCAATCAAAACAAAAAAAGTCGTTTTTGGAAAAACCTCAACGTTACGGCAATCATTTAGAGCTTATTACATCGTTGCCATGTCTCTCCTGATTGTTTCTGACTGTTGCTCGGGACAATGATTCTAGAGCGTGAAAAAGTTTTTGATTGAGCAAAAAATAAATTGACATATTTTTTTTCTCAAATTCAAAAGCATTACCTATCATCTCCGATAAAGTTTTCTTAAATAATCACTCTAGTTATGCTGCAACATCGATTTAAAGTCAAGAACCAGGCACGGGGGACACGCAAATTTGGGACAAATGTAGGCAATTTGCACATTCAAAGTTCTCCTAAATTTTTATTTCAGTCCAAATAAAGTGGGAAACAGCATGTAATAGTCAACAATAGTGTGGAAAATGAGAAAAAAATTTGATCTGCCCATGTTCCTCAGATTATGACGATTAAAACAGCTCGGGACACCAAATTAGACGCTTATTTGAACTCACCCAGGTATGCTATACGATCATTCTCTTGCGTTTTGTTTTCGTTTTTCTCAAACATGTAACTTTACTCATCATCTCTGATATTTAATAGCCACCATATACTCCAATCAAGTGTAAAAACTGGAAGCCTAAGTAATTTTTAAGTGGGTCGGCTCAGCAACGCGGATAATAATCACCGTGAAAGCGCTCCGAAAAAAGGAACTTTAAATTTCGAAGGCCTTTGGGATAAGCTCTCGAGTAAAAAGTTCTTTCGCGGCGATACAGGGGGCGAGGATGAAAGATGAGGTCGGTGGTGCAGAAAGTACTCCCGGTTAGTGAAATTAATGCGTGAACGGTCATTACAGGCCCTTATCATGCTGCGACGCGAGTTGAAATGACAAAAGTTCGCGCTAATGTCCCACGCGTTGTATCGCGCATCGTTGCCAGACCTCAGCAAATTTACCGGTCTCCATTTTAAATATTTAAGATAATGAGCTAATTTTTATGCACAGATTGGCAGCGGTTTTTCCTTGTATTCTCGCGATTCTTGGAATTTGTACGAATAAGCTTCCTGCGGCTATCCTATCTAAGGAAATCCATCCACCTCTAGGCTATGGCGAAAAGTGTGTTAATGACTTCTCATGAAGTTTTATTGCGTTTTTTAGTTAAGGTGATTCGATGGACGCCATATTTTGTGTCAGAATGGTATGCGATATATCGCATCGATTGGTTCCATTTTTTCAGCTACTCGTCATTTTTCTCCAATTTTGAGATCGCAATTCTGTTGTCAGGAGACTAAAGCACTCACTTACCAATTTTAACAAAGAAATTCAACGTAATAAAAGGCGTGGTTTTTTCAGAGAGAAAACATCGCATTCGATACTGATATCGAAACTGCACTCGATCGCGATATCATCTCTCTAAAAAAGCCACGCCTTTATTTCGTTGAATTTCTTTGTTAAAATTGGTGAGTGCTTTAATCTCCTGACAACAAAATTGCGATCTCAAATTTGGAGAAAAATGACGAGTAGCTGAAAAAATGGAACTAATTGATGCGATGTATATCGCCTACCGTTCTGACACGAAATATGGCGTCCATCGAATCACCTTAATGACTTCTCATGAAGTTTTATTGCGTTTTTTAGTTAAATTTTTCGGGCTATTTTTGTCATTTTTGCCGTCTCCTTATCAGTGGCGAGGCGTGAATGATCGATTATCGATACTTCCCTGTTTAAAGCTATGGTAAAAAATCGATTATTAAGGTGTTCGTTGCGAACACGCTGTTTATCGATCCTTTTCCATAGGTTCAAATGGCAGATCAATCGATTTATCGCAAAGCACGTAACGCCACTGCTCCTCATGAAGTTCAGAACCAAATATTGATGACCAAGGGACAATACCGCGCCTATCTACAAACTGACAATTTTGCGGGACGAAAAGAAAACTTCGCCATTTTTGTAATTTCAAGGTTAGATTTGCAATTTTTTCATACATTGCAGCCTCATTACAGCGCCCCCTACAGAATTGGAAAAAACTAAAATCGTCAGCTTGCGTATTTTATACTGTAGAATGTGGCAAAATCACTGACTCATTTTTTTTTTTTTTTTTTTTTTTTTTTTTTTTTTTTTTTTTTTTTATTAGTATCAAGCGAGCTTTCACAATGAAAATATACACTTTTTTTCTAAAGAATAAGTAAAAGTGAAAATACAAACAACCGAGAAGTTTGTAACTTATCTAAGTACAAAAACTATACAAAATATAAGATTATTGGTTCAAACCGAGGGGCTGGCCAGTTCCCACGGCTTCATCCTTTTGAGGCGTCTGAGTTCATTGGAATTGTCTGAAAGTTGTATTGCCTCATTATTAGGGTGTCGATGGAGACGTTTCTGACTCATTTTTGCCAAAATTATCAGTTGGGTGGGATTTTTCCTTAGCCCTCGATATGGAAAATGAATACAAACGTTAGGTCAGTGATGGTCACCAGTGCTAGCTGATAGTCGAAATATCATACAAGCTCGAGCATATACTGGCTCTGGCGATAGGAATGTACTTACAGATACTTGAAAAAATATTTAAAGAAACATGATCAACCTTAAGCTCCATGTCTCCTGACTCTACATTTGAGCCAGTCCACGAAAAATAAGACCAAGAGGCGGATAATAAAAAGTGAAACTATTTGTGCAACTACACCGAAATAAAAGTGATGTTGATTCAACATTCTAAATGTAAAAGATGTGTGCGAGAACTTACGAAATGCTGAATTACCCGCCACAGCAGTTAGTTTTACATCTTGACATTGTTAAAGTACCTGCTGTAGTGGTTAATTCAGCAATTTGAAAATTCTTGCACACTTTTTTCACAACCAGGATGTTAAATCAACATCACTTTTTTTTCGGTGATACTCACACGAGTATTTCACAATTATGTTGGCATGGAAAAAGTGCCCTCTGTAATTTATGAACTGTCCTCACTACGAATCTATCGCTTGCATGGAGATATTGCATGTGTGAGGGATTTACGCTTTGACTATTGATTCTTACGTAAAAGTTCGCGAGAAACACGAAGGGGCCACTGGTTTTCTCTGAAATCATCTCCCAAGCTCAAAAAAAGCTCTCAAAGTGATTCCAAAATGGAGGGGATATCTCACCCTACCCTGAGAGTCCACCTCTACATCAAAACAAACTCTCCATGCAAAAATAGGGAGCAAATACATTAACTTTATTTGGGGACTCCAAAACTGAAAACACGGCATCACTGCTAATGTATTTGCTCCCTATCTTTGCATGGAGAGTTTGTTTTGATGTAGAGGTGGACTCTCAGGGGTAGGGTGGGATATTCCCTCCATTTTGGCCTCACTTTGAGAGCTTTTTTTGAGCTTGCGAGATTATTTCAGAGAAAGCCAGTGGCACCATCGTGTTTCTCGCGAACTTTTACATAAGAATCAACGGTCAAATCGCAAATCCCTCACACATGCAACATCTCCATTATAGAGGAAGCAATAAAATAAGGAATTTAATTTGCACATTTAGCATCGCTGCGCGAGCTGCCATTATCGTCGAGACGCGCCGTGGCGTTACGGCTTAATTAGAACTGAAAGTGCAAATATGAACCGGCTAAACAGTGTCATTTCTAATCAAGGAAGCGTGCAGGGGTCTCTAAAATTATTCCCGTAATCAAGTTGAGAACGACAAATTGCTCGGTCAAGAAAGCGCCGTGCCACGTCGAGCGACAAGATGATAATCAATTGGACGTATTTCTATCAAACGGAACTATGTGCATTATGACGTGAGCCCTGCCATGCACATATTCTTATGAGTCTCAGGGCTCATATCTTAATGCACAAAGTTCCGTTTGATAGAAATACGTCCAATTCCACTCCGGAATCAAACGATTTGATGGTAATTATATCCAATGAATCTTTCAATGGGCCATTAGGTAGGGTATGTAAGAATTAAAGTGCCGCAAAATCTACTTCATGATCAAATTTTGGAGTAGTAGACTTGCATGATAGTGTAAATTCCAAAATTAAAGAAGATGTTGATGAAAGAAAATTTTTTGATCAATTTCTATTTGAGTTTTTTTACTAGATTAAGTGTTAGTTTTAGGTCTTGCCAACACGAGCGCGGTTCGCGGAACTTAGTTCGAGGATCTTGTTCCCGGAACAAGTTTTAGCTGAGCTGAAAACTTATTCCTCCTATACCCGGAATTTCCCCCGTACTCCGAGCTTCTACATATGTTTTTTTTCATGTGAATTTGTTTGTTTTTGTTTCTTACGTCCTTTACATGTCTTGAAATTTATTTTTGTTACTTTGGCGGCCGTAATAATCTATTATTTTGCAATAATTGTACAGTTTTATTGAAGTTCCGGTTCCAATTCGGGCGAACTCGTGTGGACAGCATCCCTCCTTTCAAGTAATAAGTTCTGGGAACTGAGCAGTTCGTCGAATAAGTTCCTCAAACCACGCTCGTGTGGACAGGGCCTTAGTATACTTTTGGTTTATTTTTAATTTTTTTTCAAGGCACATTCGCATATGCTTCGTCGATTATGTTATTTATTCAAAAAATCTAATATCCTCTATATCTTTAATAGATTTTTATTCCCGTAGGTCAATAGTCTAATTTTACTCCTAATTCACGACGAGAAAATAATTTAAAATGGGACAAAATCTTATGTACAATTTATGGTAATTTTATGATCATTTCAAGGACTTTGCTTCACGCATCCATCTTCCAGTGACGGAAAAAACATTTCTCTTCTATTACTTCTCCTTATTTTCCTTCTTCCTCTTTTTTCCTCTGTTCCTTTTCCCTCTCATTTCTTACATTATAAAAATTAGCTTTCTATCACACATTTATCTATAACTATGCAGAGCGGGCTAAAGTTGATGTGCACATTGGCCAGAATAGTTCTTTTGGTTAAAATCGTGCTACTGAAGGAAAGAGGAGGACGACGAAAAATAAAAATAAAAAAATAAAAAATCGCGATGCTGATGAGGTGCAATAAACGTGGATTGCTTTGCGTGCCGCATAACATCGTTCTCGAGAACAAACCCTTTGTTTTCATGACACCCTCTCCAGTTTTATGAGGTGGGCACGCTGTATTTAACTACTCACTCACCACCTTTGTACAGGAAATGTCCCCGTTCTCTCTCTATAATTAGATTGAGTTTATTAGTGTAAAAATTATCCCAAGAAACACCTTTTGTTTTTCTTTATTGCTCCCTGGAACATACGTAAGCTAACGACAGGATTCAGAATGTTCGATGCCATGCTGTGTTCAAAGATATAATTCCTAGGAATTTCACGCTCAAATTCGGATGCGAAATTACAATTTTTGAAACATGAGGCCCTAGTGATAAACATTTTGTGTTAAATTTCATGCAGACTTTTGAAACCAGGTTGATCAATTCATAGCAAATTACATCGGCTGAGAAGTAGGAACAACCGTCAAAACCAAAAATAAATAAGCAACTTTTGTGTACCAAATTTTTTGGTACAAAACAAATGACATACAATAACAGAAACAAACAAGCAATCTGTATTATTAAAAGAGTTTTAATTCATTTACACCAATAGGGTACTTCCAATATTGGAGGTTTTCCAATTACATATGTTCGATGTATATTTAAACCATAAGTGATTCTGACTATAATTTTTTCTGTTACAGGATTGAGGAGTCAACAATCAGATCGCAATTTTTGGCATACTTCAGCTTCTCATCGAACAGCAGTCCACAAGGGGTGAAATTTCAGCCCAAGGGTGGTCGCAGAATGCCCGACACAGGTAAGGATGAGTCAATTTGTGTTTGCATAAGTTACTTTACGTGTTATCATTTAGAACGAAAACATTTTACAGTGCCGTGCGGGTATTATCTACCGAAAAAGTTTACTTTTATCACGAATTGAGGTTACTGAAGCCTTATAAACAACCGCTTTTTGACGTTGGTCGACAATCATTGACATACGCACGTTTCGTTTTTCCGGCCTGTTTCTCTCGATTTCTTTCGCTGTTTTCTTATCCCTCCTCTCATCTCATCTCTTACCCCGATATCTCTTTTTCCTAGTCTCTGAAATTCTTATCAGTACCCTAGAGCCAAAAGATACCCAATTCCATTTTAGTATTTTAGAGATATCAGGGAGTATTCTAGAGAAAAACCGCGCGTCAGTCCCATTGATTCCAATTTCAATTGCAATTTTTAAAACTCTGTATCTCATGACCGGCGTAAGATAGGGCTGTCAAATTTTCCAAAAACACGGTACCGTTAATGGAGATTTTGGAAACGCCACCAACTTGATTTTTTAAAAAAATGTGAGTTAGGTCCCTTTCGGTACTGGGATACTCATTAGTGCGACTATAGACACCTCTACTCACCCCTCATATATTCTGTAAATACATTAATAGCCAAAGTTGCTGAATGACTAGTAATAATAACTAACTAACTTTTCCGAGAGTAACACGCTTTTTCGAATCTTCTTCAAATTTTATTTGATGCTGGATTTGATAATTTTCCCATCGAACAGTCGATCCGACGTAATTATTTTCTGAGAACAATTAATGTCATGAGCCGCCAAATTCGTACGAAGTTTTTAACTCTGCCCCCGCTACGAAACGGACAAAAGCGTTCGCAGCTAAAATCTACGGCTCGCTCAATATTTAAAAAGTTTCAATTCCCGACCCCCTTTCAGCCTTTGAAAAAAGGGAAAAGTTTCGGATGAGGGTGCAGGCGGGGTAATGAGCCACACTGAAACTAACCCCCCCCCCCTCCAACTGACCCCCTGCCCCCCCCAACTGAGCCCCAACTGTTTTCATGTTTCATTTTTACCAATTTACATTTTGTGACGGCTCGTTGGTGTATGTTTCTCTACCTTTCGTTCCCTCCCTCGTCCCCTTACTTGATTCAAAATTGGCCCATTAATTATTCGAACGGTCTTTATTGTAATGCTGTAGCAAGTTGGGCTCACATTTTTCAGGAGGCATGTGCTTGCATAGTTTGGAAATAATGAAATAATGAATTTGAGAGGACAGTATTGCCACGTGGGTAACGCTCTGCTCTCAGCAAACTATTCATACTAAGAGTGATTATCGATTTTCCCCCATTTGAAGCTGTGATAGAGAATCGATTATGCAGGTGTTCATTGAAAGCACCCTGTTTATCGATCCTTCCCTATGGGTTTAAATGGTAGATCAATCGATGTATCGTATACCACGCCACATCACTGCCAAGGCTGTATTCAACTATTGGCGAATCTAGCAAATCGGCACATTATTTTCTCTCCATTTAACCATATGGAAATTAATCGATTCTTGGAGCGACCAGGTGCTCTGACAAAGATCAATTATCCACCATATATTAAATGTAGAAATGCCATTGTTGCTGGATCCACCTATGTATTCAAATCAAAAGTCTCTTCGGTATTTTTAATCCTCCTGGAAATATAGCCCATTTGCTTACAACTTTGCAATACAATTTTTGCTTGACGACGGTTTCGCCCTATGGTTCCATCTCATCCATAAAAGTCAATACTAGAGGCAGGAGGTCCATCAGAAACGAATGAATTCTATGTGTGCTTTATGAATGATCTCCCTTTCCCTTTTGTAGAGCAACCCAACAAGACAACTTTTCAGCACCTCTTTGAATTAAGTAAGCTTGGCCTCACCCCATCCTCCGATTTTAGGGGAAATAACTGAAAAGCCTGAAAAAAGTAGGACAAATTATTAACATTGAAAATATTTCATTTTAAATTGGGACGTTTCTGTAAGACTGATCTAATCCTCATCTCCCTTCTTCCCTCATAAGACCCGATATAGTCAGTTCAGACCCCCCGTCACTGTAATTTGTTTACATAATACTTGAACAGCCGGAAAAGCTTACGATTTCTCGTACTAGAAAATTTAAAAATTGCATCAGACCATGGGTGGCTCTAAGGGGGGGGGGGGGGGGGAGGGGAGGCTGCCACCTAGATATCTACCTGGCCCCTCTCAAGAAATGTGAAAAATTGTGATAAGTAAGTGCGTGATATATTCTTCATCTTAGACGTTGTAATTGGATCGATTTTTTAGTGAAAACAGCTCAAAGTAACTCCTGAGACGACTCAATTTTGCAAAATTTTCGCGGAGAGGCCACCCTCCGAACCTCTCTTCAAACGTACGAAAATTACTCGAATTCTCATCTGGAGCTAAGGAAGTCTCCCAGACGCAGGCAAGCCTTCCCATGCGGACTGTATTTATGTGCCCCTCCAGATCCCCCTTTGATGAGATGCCCTTCTGCCCCCACTAAAAGTTCTTAGTTCCGCTCATGCATTAGGCTAATATTTTCCGAAAAACTCACTTAGGCTCGCTTGCCGACGGGCCGAGTATTAAAATTGATAGACAAAGCTATAGACAAATAAGCTAAAAGGAATATGGAGAAATCCTACAGGTGGAAGCGGGCGGTTGCAATGACCATAGGTGGTAAGTAATAGACCAACTAACGGCAACCTACAAGAGACCTTATGGTTAGTCGTTCATTTTCTCCCTTAGTCAATGGGAACCACCCATATCAACCAATAAGATCGCTCCACACTCTCAATGTCTTCTTTTTCTACTGCTTTTGCTTTGTCTATCAATTTCAATAATCAGCCCGCTGGAGGATGATTTGGACTGCATTTTGCAATTTGGAACTGTAAATTCTGGCTCTTCTGGAAAAAGACTTATGTGCGTAGGGAAACTAATGGCACATACGTTGTTTTTAAACCGGGCTAGGATTCATAGTTCCAAATTGCAAAATGTAGTCCATTTCAACAAGGTGTAATAGAATCGCCTCTGAACCAAGAGCCCCTACAGATTGTCGCTCCTCTGACGTAAAGGCGTATCTTAATTTCAACCTGAGCCCTATTCTCCGTATGAATCTATACTTACCGAGGCTCATGTGAAAAAATATATATGCCCTTACGTCAGGGGACTGACGACATATGGACGTATTTATGCTAAAAGGAACTATGTTGCATGTAATCCCTATACACAGCACATAGTTCCTTTTAGCAGAAATACGTCCATATGAGGGACTTGGAGGACAAGGCGCACATGTGCAGTTCTTGAAAAATTGAGGTATTAATGATCTAAAGTATTACTAGACTTGATGCATATTCTGTGAAAAATTCGCTCCCAAATTCTAATTTTTAAGCATCAAAAAGTCAGTTTGAACTTGATTTTCGCCGTAAAGATCCATGTAATTTCAAAACTTCGAACATGAATACAGACTTTGCAGGTGTCTTAAATTTTGTGAATTTTATCTTTAAAATTACACTGCCAGGAAAACTGAGCACGAGGATGAACTTAGTGTCTAAATTTGACAATTATTGTAGAAAATATGACAAAATAACTTACTCTGCTAAAATACATGTGTTTAAATGGAAAATGCCGCCAGATGACATCATAAGGCGGCACATTCTCTCAATTTTAAATCTAATTTTCTCCAGTTTCCCATGCCGGAAAAAAATTATGAAAAATACTGCGAACTCAGCTCATTAGACAGTCTCAGATGAAGCAATAAAATTTTTGTGTGCAAATTCTCCATTTCTTGGAATAGCAAACACTGCACTTATGCGCCACGTCATCCAGGCACCTCATATGAAAACCGCGGCAACGCCGGAGCCAGGGCTCACATGGGATTCGAACTCGAGGAGCCCGAAAGTCACGCAATTTCATTTTTAATAATAACTTCCTAAGCAGAAGTTCCGCCGCGAGTTTTAATAACGTCCCCGATGTATCTCTATCATTTAACTCGAGCCTTGCCTCGCCCCCACCCCCTGCTCGCTCATTGGAAGTTGATGCATATTGGATCTGTCGAATCCCCCGATACCGCCGGAATTATTACCACCGCCGAGGGGGTGGGGGCGAGGGGGGTGCCAGGGCGGTACAATAACTTAAGATTCGCGGGTCGCAAAGATTGCGAGGGCGGTATTGTTCGTTGCCGAATTTGGCCTCGCTCAGGTGAGAGCTCGAAAAGTTTTCGCCGGCACGTGCGGGGGATAAAGACGGCCGCGGCGTTGCCGTTTCTGGTGGGGGAAATAGGAGTACTTTAGGAGGGAATGGGTGGATCTGGCAACGGTGCGCGGTTATCAGGCTCGCTTCAGGTGGGTGGGTTGCGGATCCAGATCGAGAAGTTGGAAAGCGCGCGGAGGAGCGAACTCTTAATGAGGTCGGTAAAAAGTGTCTGGTTGGTTTGTATGGGAGTCGTGTCGATGGATCCGGCCGGTCTGCTGCCGAGTTTCCAGCCTGCGAATCTTTTGGATGAGACTTTTGTTCTGCCGTGCTAAGGAAGAACGCCGTGTGAGCCTTCAGACGTTGCCTAGTTTCCTCCAGTAAAAACCGAAATTGCCGGGGAAATGGAGATGTTGCATGTGTGAGGAATTTGCGATTTGACTGTTGATTCTTATGTAAAAGTTCGCGAGAGACACGATGGTGCCACTGGTTTTCTCTGAAATCAACTCCCAAGCTCAAAAAAGCTCTCAAGTTGAGGCCGAAATGAAGGGGATATCCCACGCTATCCTGAGAGTCCACCTCTACATCAAGACCAACTCTCCATGCAAAGATAGGGAGCGAGTACATTGACAGGGTTGCCGTGATTTCGGTATCAGAGCCCCCAAATAAGGCGGTAGCCCTGTCAATGTATTTGCTCCCTATCTTTGCATGGAGAGTTTGTCTTGATGTAGAGGTGGACTCTCAGGGTATGGTGGGATATCCCCTCCATTTTAGCCTCACTATGAGAGCTTTTTTGAGCTTGGGAGTTAATTTCAGAGAAAACCAGTGGCATCATCGTGTTTCTCGCGAACTTTTACGTAAGAGTCAACAGTCAAATCGCAAATTCCTCACACATGCAACATCTTCATTGTTAATATTATTTTCCAAAATTTTCAAAAAATTTTGTACGCAATTTAAGCTAAAATATCTGAAAGTTTTCGAGGAGAAATATATACATACGTTTCGTCAAAAATCCAAGTTTCATCGAAGGACATTTGGCAACTCTCGAATGCTCATACGGCGTTCTTCCTTAGCATGGCAGTGTTTTTGTGCGTTGCGTTTTGATCTGGGTTTCATTCCGTGTGGTTGCGCGGTTAAATCAATCACAAGCTATGATTTTCCTCATTTCATTTTTCGAGTCATACTGCCACACAGTGGGTCGAGTCAATAGGAGAGGTTGGCCAAAATTTGGCAACTTTAAAAGCTTATATAACTCCGTTCATGCAAAACTTAAACGTGGTTCCATTGATTTTGTCGTGAAAGCTTTCAGAATAACCACTTATAATTTAAAATGTGACGAATTAAACATAATTTGCAGTTTTAGTTAAACATTTCATGTCCAACCTCTCTAACTAACTCGATCCACTCAGGGCCGGATTTAGGGGGTGGCCACAGGGGCCACGACCCATAGCGGCAAATTTAGGGGGCAGCAAATTTTGCAATTTTTTTAAATGTAGGTGTATTAAAAAATTGGACTCGGAAAAAAAACACACACGAGAAAAGGCGATAAAATCTCTCATTTCCTGAGAGTATAGTAATTTCTAATATTGTCGTCTTTCGTCGATACAAGAGACAGAACTTTTAATTTTGTCGAGTTAAGAGAGAAACCAAACACGCAATTCGGCCTGGAGCGGCGCGGCGCAGAGAGCAGTGATGACGAGGACTTGTTATGAAAAGGAGAAACCCTTGGCGCGGCGCGGCGGTCGACATATAACACATATTAGCGCCTACAGGACTGCATGAATACTTCAAGCATTGCGTCAAACACAATGCGGTCAGCAGCGGTCGTCGTGAAAAGCATGGCGCCTACAAGACTGCATGAATACTTCACGCATTGCGTCAAACACAGTGCGTTCAGCAGCGGTCGGCGTGAAACGCATAGCGCTTACAAGACTGTGGGCATACTTCATGCATTGCGCCAAACATAGTGCGGTCAACGCGGCGCGGTGGCGGAAGTCAAACTTATTAAACCAAATTTATGTTTGCTCTTTCATAATTTTTCCGTTCACTTCTTATAAATGGAAGGCCTTGTCCACACAGAGATACGTTTACGGTACTTAACTTCCGCGCAAAGTTCCGTGAACTTTTGCTAGTAGTGTTGACAGGGCTTTCGCAAAAAATGTGTCCAACACGAGTAAACGCGTCTTATACATCCCTCCTCCTCCGGCACGTTCACTCGATGGCTTTTATTGATGTTTCAAAACGAATGAAAAGCAAGTCACAGGCGGCCCATGGGCGGCAAGTAGGTAAATCCGGCCCTGGATCCTCTGTGTGCCGTGTTAAGGTAAAACGCTGTATGAACCTTCAGATGCTACCAAATTTTGATAGATGAAACATGAGTCTTCTGGCAAACTTACAAATATTTTCTTCCAATTTTTCAGACAATGGTGTTCTCGATGTAATCTAAAATATTCAAAATTTTTAAGGAATTCATAGTTTTCTTCAAAAATACATGTATTATTCAGGGAAATTTGGCTGCTCTCAAATGTTCTCACGGCGTTTCTCCTCAGCATGGCAGTATAGGAGCTCAAAATTGCATACATATTTTGAACCAAAGAAATACAATCAGGCGATAAAACCCAGCTATCCTTCAACTTAGTGGTTATGCAATTTCAGTTATCCTGGAGTTGAAATAGTTGTATCACGTAGTTTATGAGTCTTGCACTGTAATTACCTGCGCAAACGCTAACGTGAAAGTAACCAGTGGCGTGGCGTGATTTGCGATTTATCGATCGATCTGCCATTTAGACCTATTGAAAAGTATCGATAAACAGGGTGTTCGCAGTAAACACCATAGTGATCGATTATTTACCAGAGCTTCAAATGAGGAAATATCGATAGATTGCAAAGCACGCCACGCCACTGAACGTAACGCTAAAAGAGACGCTTGCGCTTGTTATTTCAACCTTCACAAATAATGTGTAGTAAACGTCATTGTTTTACAATTTTGAATTGTAATTGACTGGATGGCTCAACCTCTGTAATATTGGTAACAGTCTCTTCATATCTTATTTATTTTTTATTTCTACTACCTAATGTACATAGAACATAAGAGAAAGGTCAATATTGGAAATTTCGTTATACTTCTGTCTTGTTTTCCTATCACTTCAGATATTTACAGCAATGTTTCTCTGTTCTCAGAATGCGACTGGCTGTACCAAGACATCGGGTGCCAAGACTGCCTGCTAGCTACGCCGGGCTACCCGGGAGTGTACCCGTCGCACATAACCTGTCAATATCACCTTACGACCACCTCCATTCTCACGAAAATACGAATCAAATTTCTCTCGCTCAAACTCCCGCATAAGTAAGTGCCATGAATAATTCAAAGCCGCCTTTCTCTCATTCTTCTTGCCGAGTGTATTTTTCTCTCGAGAGCCTATTCCTATTGCAAGCATTTATTTGCGTTGACACTATTATTGCCCTATTTTTTTCTTGGTTTTTTCTACACTCCGGAAACAGTCGCGAGAATACTCCGGAACTATTTCACCTGGAAATCCAGGTGCATTCGTTTCACACACTTTGTGAACCGAATTTTGAAACTCACGCACTTATTTTTGAGACGGTATGACGAATTTGACGAGAGATGGCGTGAGGATACCACTTTACGTCGTTTCCCAAACGAGGGGACCTGACTCCATTCTAAAGTTGCAAAATTGACTGAGACATTGATTTTTTACAAGAGTGTACCTGAGTAATTTGTATCCAAAATTTCGCAACCGACGTTGCGAAATTTACATCGATTTAAATTGACGCATTTCCGGCTGGTACACAATTTGTCCTCTTTCGATCTTCGAGACTACTAGACTGATTTTCGTCGGATTTGTTTTAAATAAAATCTCTTAGGCTCTAGATGTGCCAGCGTCCCTTGGTTTTTCAATTTGCGCGACCGATGTCGCAAAATGTACCTCGATTTAATAACGACATAATTGCGTCTTTGCCGCTGGACCCAGGACCCCCAAAGCTTTGCTTGCTTGCTTTGCTTTGACACTAAAGGTAGGCGTACAAAAAACATCGTTATTCAAGGAAGTTCTTTAATTACTTGTAGTAGCAAAATTTGCCTAGAGTCCCTCTCTGGGCGAGTGACTGGGGGTCTAGGGGGCGAAGCCCCCGGCTGGCGGCGCAAGCGAGCGTAGCGAGCTGAAGCAACTAGTTGTTACTTACTGATGTTTCCTCAGGGACCGTTCTCGCACCAAGTCAGCCAATTTGGCTGACTTTTTGGTCCCTCCCTTTCCACCTTTGTAGGGCCTGTAAGACATCCATCAATCCCCCCCCCCCTTTCAAATCACGGAGGATGGGCCTCCCCAATTTTTAGAAAATAACGGAGAAAGCTTAAAAAAGGTTACAAAAATTCTTCACTGCAATCGAGAATCGTGGCCTGGTAGTTCAACGTCGATATACATGGTGCAGACAATCAGCAAGCGTTGGCAATTTGCAAGCGGCACGCGTGTTAACTCACCAAATTGCAACAATTCGAATCTACACAGTAAAGGTAGCATCGAACAAGAACCATAAAATCACAACCACGGCTCCAAGCGCCTTCAAATCCCGGTGATACTTCCAGCTTTGCCAGGCAGCTAGTTTAGTTACCCATAGGAATCAAACCTAACTTAGGTCACTGATTCCAATTCTCGTGCTCGCGAGTGTGCCGGGTAGTGCCCAGAAGCGTGGCGTATATGATAGCATCGATTATTAAGGCGTTCGTCGTGAACACCCTTTTTATCAATCTTTTTTCATAGGTTTAAATGAGGGATCAATCAATATAACGCAAAGTACGCCATGCCACTGGTAGTACCATGCCTTTATGCAGGAAAAAGCGATTGGTTGAATTCTTATCATAATTATATTCTCTATTTCTTAGCTTCTGAATTTTACATTTTATCCCATTCAACACTGATAGATTGCAATTTGCCGGCGATTGCTAATTGCCTGCGACATATACTGCCGTGCTAAGGAAAAACGCCGTTTGAACATTCGAGAGTTGCCAGATTTCCTTCACTAAAATGTTTATTTTTGGGGAAATTGATGAATATTTTTCCCTGAAATTTTTAAAAACTATGGTTGAAAACGAGAACAAAATTAGCCGAAAAATTGGAGGAAAAATATACATAAGTTTACTAGGAAATTTTTGTCTCGTCAAAGGAAATTTGGCAACGCCAGAGGGCTCATACGGCGTTTTTACGGCAGTATACTGTATACTCCCCTCCATCAGTAACACGGCCGTCATTATACGAATCGAACAAGAGAAGTTTACATTTCTTCCGGGGATGAAAGTGGTCCGACGAGGAAATTTCATTTTCGTTAGTGAGCGATGCTGTTGTATTTTTAAACCCCTCGGATCTCTTCTCCCGGTCCGACTTGATTCAACCAGTGGCGTGGCGTGAATTGCGATGTATCGATTGTAATGCCATTTAAACTCATGGTAAAGAATCGATTATTAAGGTGTTCGCTGCGAACACCCTGTTAATCGATCCTTTTCCATAGGTTTAAATGGCATAACAATCGATATATCGCAAAGCACGCCACGCCACTGGATTCCTCTGTTGCTGATCGCTCACCAACACCGGAGCGCCGAGAGCAAACTATCTCTATCAACTGACAGCGCATTGTTTTTATAGGAGAAATAAAAAAAAAACTCCCGCCGACAGTGTTGCCGATCCGCACGTCAAATCCGGCCACTCCCTCCTGGTTTCCCCGCTGACCGGCAACGCCGCCCGGCGGTCTAAACCCTCGTCAAGGGATTCTTCTTCGTCCGTTGACTCTCATTCAAAATGGCGTGTCTGAACGCTTACGTCTCTCCGGCGTAATGGTCGGTCCGAAGTCGGAAGTTTAGTGTCCTCCGTCGTTTTAAACTTTTCTTCTGACGTTTTCAGCGTGAAGATTATTTCCTCGTTTCAGCAGCCCCCTCCCCTCCCCCCTCTCGTTTCGCTCACCTTAAATTTTTAATGGTTTCTCCTCCGACCCGGGACCGTCCCGTTCGTCGACGTTCGGAGGGACAGCCGGAAGTTGGGAATGAAGGGCTTTTAAGCTGTGTGGATGGCGTTTTAAGGGACCGCGGGATCTGCTAATTCCGTTTTTATTGGTCGCGGCGCTTCTGCCATTGTCGTGAATATTTGAGTGTGGTCTGTTATTAGTTGAATTGAATCAGGGAGCCCCTCTGGTGACTTCAAGGCAATGGAATTGTATTGTTGGGCACAGGGGGGTCACCCTTGGTTATTTCGCAGTCCAACTCCCACACTAAGGGCTCTTCGTGACCTAAAAAAGCATTCTTGCAGCATTGAATTACCTGTGTCATAACTCAAAATGTTGAAGACAATTACAGACTTTAAATTTATTAGACTCTTTCGTTCAAAATTTAGCGAAAGTTGAAAAATATCATGGAAATTGGTACAGTTGATCATTATTTATAGCTCGGGGACACAGGCCGATCATTCAAACGGTAATGTATCCCATTTCCAAGTGAGTGAAATGATATGGTTTAGGTATTACTCATGGGCAACTATTTCGACTCGGCGGTAATGCTAGGTTGCATACCACATCCAGAACAGGGATTTTGCACGATTTGTGAAATTGTGAACGCAGCTTTATTATTACTTGCTGCATTGAACAGACGTTTAAATTCTGGGCTCTATTCGAGATATGTGCGTATTCCATGACCGTAATCGATTATTTACGACTCTTTGATCTTTATTTTAAATGTCTTACTATTGGTTTGTTCAAAAAAGTATGTGCAGGATAAGTTACTGCATTCTTTGATTCTAAGGCGCAATACTAAGGAAACGATTTAATTTACGGCAACTTGCATAGTTTCTCATGTAAATCTGATGCTGTAAAAATTGCATCTAATTTGACAGTTTTTTTTCAAGTAAAGTGCCCGCAAGAAACATACTGCTTACAAAAATTGAACTACATTTTGCCATTCGAAACTTTATTTTGCCATACGAAACTACAATTTCGGGCTCATTATAGAGACGACTACGTGCCATTAAGTTTCCTTTGTAGATAGGTGTTTTTATGTGGATTGCATTTTGCAAAAAGGAACCAAGAGCATTCCAATGTCGCTAAGATTGTGCAACTTTTTCTACCTTGCAAATATGAACTAATCATCTAACTAAGTTTTATCTTCACTCTCAATAAACTATGAATTTAACACGAAAATTACCTTTATAAATTTAATGTTTTGTAGGACCTCAGTCATTTTCTTGCAAAGAATGTCAGTCAATCCTAACAACATTGGAATGCTCTTGGTCCCTTTTTGCAAAATGCAATCCATGTAAGAACTAGAAATTTTGGTTCATCACTGCAAAATGTACTCCAATGTTTGTGTTGCAGAGCAGTGGCGTGGCGTGAATAATCGATTATCGATATCTCGCCATTTGAAGCTACGGTAAAGAATCGATTATCAGGGTGCTCGCTGCGAACACCCTGATAATCGATCTTTTTTCATAGGTTTAAATGGCATAACAATCGATATATCGCAATTCACGCCACGCCACTGTTGCAGAGGGCTCTTGTAAGGTATTAGTCAGGAAGGGGTTTTTTTCCGTAAAGCGAAACCCTGCAACAACAGCTTCGCTTGTCACGTGGATTACCCGGATAATCCCTGTAACGAGAGCTTGTATCGGAATTCATGCATATGAAGGGACCGCGTCTACTTCCCGGAAGAATTACTGTAAAAGGAACATAGTTAACAGATCCAGTGGAAATCGTCGCATTTTCACTCGTCGTGCCGGTGAAATGGTCTGAATTCTCCCCAGTTTGACTGCAAACGTTGTGAGTAAACACACTCACTTGCACGAGGATTGATCGCAAAGGCGGGGGGCAAACTACCGACAATCGATATTTTCCCATTTAAAACAATGGTTGAGAATAGATTCAAAAGGTGTCGGTGCAAACACCCTGAAAATCGATCGTTTTCCATGGTATTAAATGCATATGATTGATCGAACCATCGCTAGCCACAGAGCGTCTCTGATTGATTGCAAAGCGGAGGGATGGTATGTACTCACGTATAGCTGACAAAAAGCGCTGATGGTGAAACATCTGACAAAGCGATTTTCTTTGGAAATCGGGGATCTCTGCGCGAATGCAAAGAGACACGGCTGAAAAGAAAGCTCTTTGTAGAGCTGCTATTATTTGCATTGAGAATTATACATTGCTGAAAAAAAAAGTTTAATAGTATGAGCCGAAATATCCGTGTTCTAGGTATATTGTTCGAATCATTCGGTTCGTCAAATTGGGGATGAGATTTTCGAAATTGAACTGTTACATTAAATCAAACTGAAAATAGAAGTTCAATTAGACGAG